CAGAGCCGCAGTCAGAGGGACGAGGAGAGCAGCAAGTTAATTCAGTTGGGAACAAAAGGCATATTTTCCTTGGTAACATGTAAAGGAGAAGAGTCTACACTCTTGGGTTGAAGCTCCAAGAGGAGTTTCTTCTTCATATTAGAAGAATAGGCATCTCAGATTATGGAAGTCATTTCCCTGCCTCTGGTACTCACCAAAACTCAAGCAGCTTTCCTGGTGTTGAGGGCAGGACAGGCTTCCTTTTTCTTCCATACTTTTAAATTCCTACCATGAACTCACCCTATCCACTACTGGCATAGATTCAGGAGCTGCACTGAGCCTTTGTGATGGGCTTGCAACCCCCTTCCAGGGCCCTGGAGCCCCTGCAGCACAGCCACCTCCAGCCCTCCCAGCAGGACCCTTTTCACACATCTTCAGGACCTTCTTCCACATGGTGTCCCTGGAGCTGTCCTACTTGTTCTCCTTCATTCCCAGAAACCACTGCCCTGAAGTAGCTCTTGCATTTCTCCCCATGAGCCCCCATAACCACAACATAGACCATTACTTCAAAAGAAAAAGTAGTTTACATTTCAATAGGAATATTATACATTAAGTTACTATATAAATATATATATATACACACATACAGACATTTGTCTCTCTAAATTTGGTACAAACCGCAACAATCTTTATACCACAAAAAGGACTCATTAACACTACTGGTTTCCATCCAAGAGGCTGACAGCCTTGAACATGAGCTATTGATGTGTGCCTTTTTGTGCTTTCTCTACATTTTAGCAAAAAGTTATTTTTGCATGCACATACATAAGCACAGCCCTTCTTGTAAAGGCAACCAATCACTCTTACAGGTAACCAACAATGAGGATAAATTTGAGAATAATTTGCTCATTTACAGTACTGTGGAAGCTCAGGATTTCTAGGTTTGCAAAACACTTGAACATAACAACCACAAGAAAACAAAGTAAACATCAAAAAAAAATCTACAATCCTAACACAAAGTAATTGTCAACTACTTCGCACCAAGCTACATAGCTTTCTCTGAAAAATCAGCCTTGAGTATTCTATTCAAACAAATTTAACTGCATTGAAAGTAGTATTTACTTCTGATTTTTTTCATATACATAATAGTCTTTTCTGTAAAACTTAGGTGCACATCAGTGAACAAAGGTGCTAAGCTGAATATAGAGACTGGATATGGGTGATGAGTTTGTGTTCCTCCATTAGCAACATGCACAAAACAAATATAAACATACTCTTTAAAGAGGAAAGCTTATGCTGAATTAAAAACCAATGCAGTAATAAACTGAAACATGTATTTAGAAGACAGAACCAAAATCCTCTGAAAATAAAGGAAACTTAGAACAAAAATGTGAGTATTGGTTGAAGGAGCATGGAAAATAATTTTTTTCGATGAACAGAATTGCAACTCTTATCTCCAGCTTTTAAAGACAACTTATTATTTACTGCTTCTTTAAATTTCTCTCAACTTTCTGTTCTATTGTTTTCAAGGTACCATGCAAATCAGAGTAGATTATAAAATTCATTTCACAGCCTGCAATTCAAGATGGACTAAAAGAGTATTTCCTCCAGCTGTGAGCACCAAACCAAAACCAGAAATACTGTCAGAAATATTGTTCAGCACAGAATAAGGCTGTAGCTCATGGTGGGAAGAACAGTGTTAAAGAACAGATCTGATAATGAGGGAACTAAGCAAGAACTGATGGAAATGCAACTTCTCTTTCCTTAAGCTTTTACTCCAACAGAAACATACTGTCTGTTTCGAAGAGAACTACAACTGAAGCAACCTCTTGCTGGTAATCCTTAGCCGTAATTTATTCTTTTGAGAATAAGCATTCTCAAAAATGAGAACCAATTCTCAAAAAACGAGTAGTACTGAGAAAGATGATATACTTTAGAATGCATTAGTTTAAACTTTAAGAAAAACCAAAGGTGATGGAATCACTGAATACACAGTGTGGAAGGAGGTACCCATTCTGGTATATAGTTACTGAGTCAAAAAAGAAAAGGTGACTGCTTCCTGTGTGCTCCAGAACTATGACTGCAGAAGAGAATACTTCGGACATATTTTCACAATTAATGATAACAAAAAAACACCCAAAAGGGTGAACCTTGTGGGATTTTACCTACCCAGAAATGGGTAAGGTTTATCACAAAACAAGCCAGTGTAGAAACTAAGTATGAGAGACTCCAAAGGACTGGAGACTCTATGCACTTGCATGATAAAATACTCTTATTTAGTACGAGCATGATCCTGTCGGAAAACTCTAATTTAAGCTAACTCATAAACACTAGCTTTAAATGAACAGCATTAACAATGCTAGTGAACCTCAGAGAAGTTAATACGTTTTGTGGGACTAAGCGCACCCTCAGCAAGTTTGACAACGACACCAAGCTGTGTGGTGCAGTCGACACGCTGGAGGGAAGGGAGGCCATCCAGAGGGACCTTGACAGGCTGGAGAGGTGGGCCTGTGCAAACCTCATGAAGTTCAACAAGGCCAAGTGCAAGGTCCTGCACCTGGGTCGGGGCAATCCCAAGCACAAATACAGGCTGGGTGATGAGTGGATAGAGAGCAGCCCTGCGGAGAAGGACTTGGGGTTGCTGGTGTGTGAAAAACTGAGTACGAGCCAGCAATGTGTGCTCGCAGCCCAGAAAATCAACTGCATCCTGGGCTGCATCAAGAGAAGTGTGGCCAGCAAGTCGTGGGAGGGGATTCTCCCCCTCTGCTCTGGTGAGACCCCACTTGCAGTGCTGTGTCCAGCTCTGTGGCACGCAGTGTAAGAAAGACATGGACCTGCTCCAGCGGGTCCAAAGGAGGGCCAAGATAATGAGGGGGCTGGAGCACTTCCCCTATGAGGACAGGCTGAGAGAGTTGGGGTTGTTCAGTCTGGAGAAGACTCTGGGGAGACCTTACAGCAGCCTTCCAGTACTTAAAGGGGTCCTACAGGAAAGGTCAGGAGGGACTCTTTATCAGGGAGTGTAGTGATAGGATGAAGGGTAACGGTTTCAAACTGAAAGAGGGGAGATTTAGATTAGATATTAAGAAGAAATTCTTTACTGTGAGAGTGGTGAGACACTGGAACAAGTTACCCAGGAAGCTGTAGCTGCCCCCTCCCTCACACTGTTCAAGGCCAGGCTGGATGCAGCTCTGAGCAACCTGGTCTAGTGGAAGGTGACCCTGCCCATGGCAGTGGGGTTGGAACTGTATGATCTTCAAGGTCCCTTCCAACCCAAACCATTCTGTGATTCTGTGATTTTAAGATAAGACTAAGATATAGCACCTACCTAACAGATGCTGCATATAAAAGCATTAGGAACCCAAGTTCAAGGTGAAAGTCTTGAAAGTTTTAGTTTTAAATACTCAAAAGAAAATTAAAAATTAATTTTAGATGGTTTGTGAATGCCTTGAATATATGTTAAGAAATTTAACAATTTAAAAATGTTACACTTTATGTTCATATAATATCCCTAACACTTTACCCTCTACATAAGTGAACCAATCTTCTTCCTGTTTCTGTTTTTTCAGGATTTTTTGTTTGGTTGGTTTTTTTAAGTCTGAAAAAGAGAAAGTCCTCAGATTGCATTCTTGTAGAGCATGGAGGAAAAAATATCTAATTTTACGATCAAGCTCTCAACCACTTGGTAGGAACTAATAAAAGAACTGCTGATATTGCCATATACAAAATACTCTGAATATTGCTCTAAGAATTCAACATTTGAAGAAAAGTCATGGTTTAACTTGGTATCTGTGTTGCCATCAGTTTCATCTCATTTACTGCTTGAAACAGACTCCAAGTTACTTGTAGGTGTATTTTTTTTCCTAAAGAAACATATCTGTCACAGATGACACAACTCAGTGCTTGTCACTTATGGCTTTGGCTTAAATATTGCTAAAATATATTTCTTTAACATATTCAGTTTTTTAAGATTCCTGGTAATTATTTTAAGTAATAAGGACCACTTTAGTCTTGAAAGCTGCCACCGTTTAAAAAGATGAGTTTGTTTTCTGGATGTTATAGCGACAGCACACTTGTACATATTGCTTAGATTTGTATTACTTGCTTTGTTTTCTTGGGCCTCCCTGTTAGTAATGCAGCCATAAGCCCTACAACACAAACAGCAGCACGTTAAATCATATTTATCTGAGCTCATAGTGTAAGTGCATAAAGCAAAAGGTAGATAAGCTGAAATGGCAGCATCAATCATTTTCCATGAGGTAAGACTCCTGCATTTAGTTGTTGTGACCAACAGCTAATACAGTACCACTGCAAAGGCTCCATGCAGCAATGAACCTCATTATAAAGCCAGAAGATAAGTTCAAAGATGTCAAAGTTGAAAACATTCACCATTACAATTCACACGCTTTTCTTCATCATACAACCTTACATTCACCTGGCAACCTCACCTTTCTCCTCTCCTTGATCTTCACACCATTAACATTATGATCAGGTCAAAGTTGCATTTTCTTAAGCATCCATGTCCTTCATCATTTTGAAATTTAACATCTTTGACCTTCATTTTGTCACAAAACCATTGCTGTATTGATACACGTTGCTGTTGGATTCTGTTGTCTTGGAGCTGGCAGGTCTATGGTCTCCGTAGTGCTGTAACAGTTGAGGGTCTCAAGGAGAAAAACAAACCCGGCATTGTGATCCACATTCTAAAGCTAAGGAATTAAATTGTGGACGACCTTCAGAAACGTTGACCAAAATGGGCCATCTGGAGAGTATCCAAAATACTCAAAACTTGATCTACGAGAGAGAGGTGGTGTTCCACAGGGCAACTGAATGACCTCGAATTGGCAGTGAGCCACATCAGTCATAAATCAAAACAGCTGTCTGTCAGAACTAGTGTAAAATATGCCTAGTCTGAATGTCACAATATGATTTAAAAAGAATAGTATTACTTTTAGAGCACCCGCCTTTCCTTCCAAGACATTTAGAGTTCTCTGATTTGAAAAATCCTTCCAGGCTTCACAGATTTAAGTAGGTGAGGAACTATGGCAGTCTCTGATTTTATCTGGCTCCATAGACAACGCTTTTTCTCTTGGCTCTTGCTTAACTTGGCTCACACAGAGAACACCCTCTGTATTTTCTTCAGCTTAAAAACAAAACAAAAATCAAACATTGATGTCCAAACTCTACTGACAACACTTCAGTCCAAATAACTGTACGCATTTAAAAGAAAAACATTTCAGGAACTCAAGCTAATAGGCAAGGCATTTGTGAAGTTAACTATTGTTTAGTTTGACAGTCAGCTATGTCATCTGCTGTGCTACAAGACATTGCCAGTTGACATGAATTTACTGCAGTAAGGGTCCCTTCGAGTAAGAATATTTAAAATCTTTTCTAAAAAAAATAATATGTTCGGAGATATAAAATTACTCTAACACAAAATGTCTTTCCTCTTTCCCACGGAAAAATAAAGCTACCATCTTTTTTTTTTTTTTTTCTTTTCCAGGAGAAAGGAGGAATGGAGGTGCTACAGCTGAAAAAAATAACTCTAAAGCATGTTGATTCAGAGAATGACTTACACTTCAGGCATGACTGGCCACTTCTCAATGACTGCACACACATTTTCAGCAGGAAACAGCTTATTCTTAAGTTAACACTTGGACAAGAGAAAATCCAGAATGTACAGGACAATTTTAATCAAGCACACATGTGCGTAAGTGTATGCACACACACAAGAGGAAAAACCATCTTGAAACACACACTGACTGAACTGCTAAGTTCAAGTATATGGTGTTTCCTCCAAATAAGCTCTGTAAGAATATTCCCTCTTTAGTCTAGACTGTTTTTTGTCCTCCTGCTCCCCAGACAAAGAACTTGCCTCTGGAAAAAAAAAAAAAGAAAGTATCTGTTCATTTTATAGGCAACTCCTCCACATAACTTAGCAATGGAACCAATATTCTCACAATTTCCAAATTCAGGCTGGTGATGATAGACTGAGAGCCTGAACAGACAAAAAAAAAAGAAATCCCAAAGGAACAGTGAGTTTAGTCCTTGCAGTCATATAATTTTATATCTGACTACACTTCTTTTTGTGTAAATGGTATTTCTTTAAAAATTCACTTACAATAGTAATCACAAAAATTTCCGAGAAGCATCAACATCTAGATTGAACAAATGGGCTAAACAACTGAATGGAGGAGGTGCATTTGATAACATCTCTGAAATTCTTTTACCCTGAATGAAAAGAGAATTTCTCAGGAAAGTAGTCAAATTCGATTATAAAAGGGAAAACAACCAGTTACACAAACATTGAGCAGGTAAACAATTCCTTAAATCTAACTTTGAAAATACTGCCACAGTAAAATATCCCAATATTACTCTAACACGTATGAATTTCAGTGTATTTCCTCATGTACCCTTTATTTCCTTTTTATTTCTTCATGTAGTGTTGTATATTTCTGTTTTCAAATTATTACAGAATTTAGTACAAAGTAAGTTTTGCTGACCTGCAAAAGTCATCAGGACATATGGAGATAATTATCACTACAGCATTATGAAGGTGTAGGCTATGATCTAGCACATCTTTACCTAGATGTTCCTGCAAAACTACTCAAGAGCCACCTTTTCAGAAGTTACAGATGACAAGAAAAGATAATATAGAAATAACAAAGCATTGCACAGCTAGCATTTCAGACTCTCTGGATAGTCAAAAGGATATGTTGCACTGATCTATATATGCTCCATATCTAATCAGTTTTCTTCAACAAGAATTAGAAGTCATTCTTTGAGAATGCAAGCTTTCATTCTCAATCAGGTTCCACAGCAGAGAATTCAAAGACTGTATCTATATTTGATAACAATGGTTTTAAGGAGCCTTCTATTTTGACAGAAAGTTGTTTATTGTGTACTTTTTAAAGTATTTTCAACTACACACAACTCCAACTGATCACTTCTAAAGCATATTGGTGACTACAGGATCATAGTAAAAGTTTATTAAAAAAATTCAGAAATCAGCATGCTGGGATGGTGCAAAGAAAGAAGTCATCAAAATCCCCACATTTCTTTCCAAAGAGTTCTTACTAGATTCAATATTGGTTATTTTCTGTTCTTATTTGTCCTTTAAAAGAAATTATTTTGAAGATCATAATTTTAGCTAAACGTTAGGATTTCTGGCAAAAATATTGTGTTCATCAAATAAGTTGGCATTTGGTCAAAGAAGGTGATAAGCAGTTTAACTAAGAAGTCATCTTTTTGTAGCAAAAACTAAGTTTTGGTGCGTTTTTTTGTTGTTGTTTTGGGTTTTTTGGTTGGGTTTTTTTTTTTTTTACAGTCATTATGTTTTCACAGTAAAAACTAATTAGAATCAGCTGAAAGAAGTCTATGCTGGAGTTCCCCATTATCAACACATTTCTTTCCTTTCTTCAAGACACATGGAACAAAATTCACCATATTTTCTATATTTAGGTATTACTGGCAAGACTGCAACTTACTAAGTGCTGGATGGCTGTCCACAATCCGTACTGGAATAGTCTGTACATCTCCCAAGAGAATCTGTTGGACTCCTCCTTCTAGACTTCTGGAGTCATCTACCCCTCCAACTGCTACCAACTGGCCTATGGTGACCAGACTCTGGTCAGAGCCCGGTGGAGCCACAAAAGCAGAGGCAGCACTGCTATGCTGTGCTAGGCCAGCACCTGCTTGCAGACTGTGTCCCTGACTAAGTGCTAGAGAATGGCTGGTTATTGCACTTCCTATGGAATCCAGAAGACTTGCAGGGCTGGGAGGGGAATGGTTATTTACAGCTATCAGGGCTGCTGATTCCTTTGTGGAGGTAAAAGTTGACTGCAGCTGTAATCCCTGTGAAAGAGAAGGCAGAAGAACTAACATACCAGTATTTACAGCAGGAGGTATTTGCATTTAACGGCACGTATGTTGCAATGCTGGAACTGGATAGCTTCTGACTTCCCACACATCACCTCTTTTGAACAGTCAATCCCAGCAACCCTCGGCTAAGGCTGGATTAGAAAACAATTAGGACAATGGCATCCAGTAGCATCTAGAAGACTACTTATGATCACAAAGCTCTAATTTTGAATTGATGTTCAGTTTCAGATCGTTCTCCAAAACTGCCCGCTCCCTTCAGAAAAAGAAGGAAACGGCAAGTAGAACAGCATCTTACTGCAGACAGTATTTCTAGGGATGAGATCATGCACTTCACTGGGGTTCAGGAAGTACGAAGGTAGCTTTTCAAAGAAGTGAAACTACCTTCATCTTCTTGGTTTTACCTTTACAAGAGACCCTAACTTCAAAATGTCAAGAGATGGTAGTGGGATCCTGTGCGCCACAGCTATATGCTAAATGTTGCATGCAAGACAAGCCAAAGGAAGAGCTGGAAGCTATTTCAAAGTCCATGTTACCTAGCCAGTGTTTGGGATCATTAGCTGAGAGGGAACTTGCTGTTCTCAGCTCTCCTTCAGCATTTCCAGCACAGAACATTTGACGTTCTGTAAACAATTTGACTGTACCTGAAGTTGTGCAAATATCTTGGGCTGAAGTGAAGACAACAGCTGAGCTGTTTCTGGCAGCAAGGACTCCCCGCTGTGGTTTGATTCTGCTTTGGTGACCACTGACTCTCCTGCTGAGCTCCCTACAGTGCCACAGAGAGGAAACAGACAGTTATGACAAATTTCTTCTTGTTTAAAAGCCTGCCCTGTGAACTGAACAAACCCTTCCAACCTCAGTATAGACATACAAAAGACATGTATATACATATATGCTGATCTCTTTGAAGAAGAGGTTGAATGCTAAATAAAAAAGGCTGGGTATGAGAAAAAGACAATACTGTAGGAAGACTGTGCCTGTTCAGAGTGAAAAATAGAAGCATCAATAAATCCGTTTCGGAGAGCAAAGTAATTTCAACCCTCCCTGTGCTTAGAATTTCTCATAACATAAAACATAAACCAATTCTATTAAAGCAGCAATCAAATAATTTGGCAATACATACACCTCAGTAAGGGCTCAATAACAGACAGGCATCAAAAGAAAGTGTTGTTTTCCAAAATAAAAATCTACACAGGAAATCCTCTAAGTCTCACCACTCCCTTCCAAACACCTTTGTGAAATTAGGTTTACTTCTACGCAGTATCACACCAAAAGTCCATTTATCTGGAGGTCTTTCATCCTACAGGTTATATCATACCCTCAAAATTCTGATCTAATGCAAGAATGACAGACTTAATTTCCTGAAGACTTGTAAAAATTGAAGTTCACTTGTAGCAATCTGTGCAAGAAAACTTCTCATGGGATCATTCCATTTCCTGTTTGATCCATCCAGAACATTCTGGATAAGATTTATCCAGACACAAGTAGACACTCCTTAGCCTCTTATTTCGCAGTTTCACTGCTATAACTGTAGAAGAAGAGCTTGCCCTATGCATGAAGGTTAGCCTGGTGAATGGAAAAAAATTTAAAATGGTCAACCGCAAAAAGCTTTCTAGCAGGAAATCATACAAAAGTTTCCAGCAATCTAAGTAAGTACAGATATATTTTTCAACATATATACTGATCTGCAGACTCTAACTCATCATAACTGACCATCAGATACACTCTATAAATCTCCTTGAACACAACTACTTCAAATATTTAGGTACTTTTTAATACTATACAGAGATCCCATATGCATATGCGAATATTGACCTGTAGGAAGAGATGGTATTTCTTAACTTAGGTTGTATTCTACACCAACATGCCCAGGAATAAAGCTAATAGTTCAACTCCTAACCTATCCACTCCTTATGCTGCGTGGGCATTCAGTACAAATACCAGAAGTTTAAAAAAAAAAAAACCCAAAACATATATATATGGGCACTTTATCTCACTTGTCATTATACTTCATAAAAGATATAAAAGGGAACACACTTAAGTTACAGTGATTCTTACACCTAGGAGAGAACAGAGAAAGTGGTATAACATGGAGATATGGAGTTATGCACAACAAGAAAACAAACAGCTGGGTTTAGTTCTGTTATTTCTGTTGATTTCTTAAATATCAACCTGTCCCCATTCAGCACAAGTTGAAATGAAAAAAAGATGTATACCAGTATTTTGAAAAGTGCTGTTTTCCCTTGCTACCACTTCACATACATTAATGAGAGCTGATTTTTTCAGTCAGGCTTCTTTTCTTGCTTAGACTTGTCATATAATTATAACACATACATATTCAAGTGGAGACAAGATATGCTGGAATAAAAAAATCTGCTTATATTCACTGAATTGATGCATATGTGCAGAAAACTAAACAAATCCATTTCTCTACCTTCCTTTAAAATTCAGTATGTCACTGGATGGATGTTTACACATTTGATAGGCTACTTTGCCTTAGAATCACAGAATCACAGAATGTTAGGGGTTGGAAGGGACCTTGAAAGATCATCTAGTCCAACCGCCCTGCCAGAGCAGGACCACCTAGAGTAGATCACACAGGAACGCGTCCAGGCAGGTTTTGAATGTCTCCAGAGAAGGAGACTCCACAACCTCTCTGAGCAGCCTGTTCCAGTGCTCTGTCACCCTCACAGTGAAAAAGTTTTTCCTTATGTTAATGTGGAACCTCCTATGCTCCAGCTTGCACCTGTTGCCCCTTGTCCTATTGTTGGCCATCACCGAGAACAACCCGGCTCCATCCTCCTGATACTTGCCCTTTACATATTTATAAACACTAGTGAGGTCACCCCTCAGTCTCCTCTTCTCCAAGCTCAAGAGACCCAGCTCCCTCAGCCTTTCATCTTAAGGGAGATGTTCCACCCCCGTAACCATCTCTGTGGCTCTGCACTGGACACTTTCAAGCAGTTCCCTGTTCTTCTTGAACTGAGGGGCCCAGAACTGAACTCACTATTCCAGATGCGGTCTCACCAGGGCAGAGTAGAAAGAGAGGAGAACCTCTCTTGACCTACTAACCACACCCCTTCTAATACACCTCAGGATGCCATTACAAAGAAAGCAAGAACTGGTCTTCCCAAACCTTCTCTGGTATTCAGACAGTTCATACCAAAAGTCATCCCTGCTGAGCTTTATCACAGCTGTTGAAGGCACAACTATTCTGTGTCTCTCTATACAAGCACAGTAATGGAAATATTTACATAGACAACCAAGCTTAAGCACAGTAAGTCTGTTCATATTGCAAATTCCTTTTTTCCCTAAAAACCAAGACTCCCTTAAAAACGGACACTATTCAAACTGAGCCTAAAAATTTACCTCTTGTCCTCTGAGAGCTGCCAACACTGAAATTCTTATCCTAAGAGCCCTAAGCATACATGATGCTTCTCAGTTCAAATTGATCCATTGCAGCAACAGCCATAATAAGAGTCAAAAAATTCCCAAACAAAACAAAGCCCAACATTGGCCTTTTTATTAACTGTAAATGCACTGGTGTACGTGGAACTGCTCCATGTAAATCAGGTTCACCCAGTCATTTAGGAGAAATCACACAGTGACCCAAACCTCTGGGGGTTTGTTATTCCTGCTACAACAAAGATAAGAAATAGATCACGGAGTGACAGGGGCCAAAGCGGAAAAGAAACTCAGACACATCAGGACTTCTTCAGGCAAGAACTGCAGCAGAGGATAACTGTTGACATAAGTAAATCTTTAAACATGACAACTGTAGCAGTGCCCCTTTGGTCCCTGTAGACTTCTCTATCAGCTATCTGGACGAAAATACCCACCACCATGTTCCAGTTAAATAGGGAAACAAGCTGGCAGTGCCACTGAGACTAAAAACATCTAAGAAGTCTGCAGCATTATCTTAATCTATGAAAACAATTAGGCTCTTCCACCTTGCTGCAATCATATCCCTGCTAAAAGCCAACAACTCTTCTGTTGAGTTTCACATCAAACCTATTAAAGAAGGGATGGGGAAAGCATCCACAAATATGCCGAAAAGTTCTTTTGGTGTCACACTAGACAAAACATCCTTGAAACCTGGGGAAAAGGGCAGAATAATCTCCTTTTAAATTTATTATCAGCCACTATGATCCAGCGGAGCATCTCAGCCTATGTGTAATCCTAACTATGTGGGTAGCAAGTAGACCTAGTCACAAACACCTACATTTTGGTTTAGTACATGTTTTGAACTCAAAGTAATAGTAGCAGGAACCCACTTTCAACAAAGGAAAAATAGTGTAACTAGCATCTTTGAACAAACCACACCATCAACCATGAACGCATAAAATCAAGTTTCTATAGAAATCGACATTATCTACACTCTGGTTTTGCAGCAGAGTGGGAGGAAGTTTATTGCTTTTTTAGGTGGCTCAGCAGTCGCTGGGAAGTGATGCTACTTTGGCTTTGACATTAAGAAGTTACACAACATGAGGAACTGAAGAAACATTATCTCACAGCCCTGCTGCCACTAAACACCTGTGTTTCTATTTCTATTCTAAGCATTAAGGAAAAAAACAGAAAAGAGTGCTCTAAAGTCTGACAACAGAAATACAGCATTCGTTATTCAGGGCCTGATCCTAGCAGTGGAACTCAGCAAGCCAATGCCTTTGTGAGATGCAGGAATCCCAATATGCATTGAAGTCCTTTTTAGCAAGATGTTTAAGCATCTGTGAAGCACAAAACGCCAAGGAACTCAAGTACCCAGTTGGCTCCTGGGTATTGCATGCCCTGACAGATCTATCTGTTCAGTAGGAATTTAATTCTCTCTACACAGGTGTTATTAGCACCTTAATCCAAGGTAAAATGTTCTTTCCATTTAAGTATCCTGTTAAAATCTTCAGTTGCTTGAGGACGCCAAAAGAAAAGCCAAACTTATAATTTTCATACTTCTGCCAACCCCATCATGACTACACATATTTTTCCATAAGTCAAATAGTTTAAAAAAAGTACACCAAAATAGACACATCAAAATAATCCTTCTTAAGTTCAGCTGAGTGACAGAACATGACAGCAACCTCTCTGGAAGGAATCTGAACTTCTGCGACATAGCTAATAAAATAAATCACATTTGGAGATAGCTAAATTATTAGTGTAGTCCTACCATCTGAAGGTGGTGAGGCAAACGTAACAGTCACTGTTTCTGTGAGAACATTCCCACTGTCTGTGGTCCACTGCAGCTGAAAGGAAAAAGATCTCAGTTCTCAGAAAGGGTGCAAGGTTGTCTACTACAGAAACATAGGCTCAATACAGGACCCATAGGAAAACCATGCCTAGAACTACACCTTCTTCGTTTCTTGTAACTATGCATTTTAGGAGCTCTCGGGTTACCAAAAAATAATACTGTAAAAAATTTTTTAACATGCATTATACCAGGAAGGCTAAAGTCTGCTCATGACAGTTCAAAGACTTTAAAATAGAAAACAGTCAAACCATTTGGCTAACAAACAAGTATTACTCACTCACCTGGGCCAAGAGCAGCGTAGGGAGAGGGAAAAGACTGATGACACAGCATGATTTAACAGTACAGACTGTCAAAGCTGATTTTAAATCAGCAATTCCTTAGCAGTCAGCCTCACAACTGGGAAAACTAGGATCACTGTGTATCACTTATTACTCAATAGGTGGAAGAAAATTAAGGTACAACATATAAGAGCTGCTGAGCATTCTGAAGTATCTACTTCAAGCTTACTTCACTTGCTAAGAAGTTCATTTATTAATATTTACACATTCAAAATGTTGTGCAAGCCCTAATTCAGACTGCACCTAAGCAATATTTCTTCCCCATTTTTCAGATACAGAAAAGTAGTAGTAACTTCTCCAGGACACAGACAATGACAAAGCCATGAATAAAATTTTCTGACACGTGCCGATTTTTCTACACCATGTGGCTTCCAGTTCATGCAATCATCATGAAGTGCTAATATTGTATAATTTGTCAATCAAGTAACAGCAATCTAGTGCTGATGAGATAAATACTGAATAAAGTCAGAACATTTTATTTATTCACATTTAATCCAATCTTGCTCAGCCAGAGATTCCACTGAAAATATTGCTGCTGGAAATAAAAAGTCATAGAGAATTTTGGATTAAATACAGCTAAGTGGCAAAAATTAAAAATAAGATTTCCAGTATTTAACTCCAAAAATCAAAAAGAAACACAAAAGCCAACGTACTGTTGCTGGGATACTTTCTGAATTACACACTGTCTCGCCATTCCTCAATGATTTCTGCACTTCATGAATGTGGTTCTTGATGTCATTCACAGTGGGGAAGAAGGACAGGTTATGTCTTTCTGGCACTTCATCAGGCTTGAATAATTCTCTTTCCACATACTTTCTGTCACATATTAAAGGACATTAAAATACACATCTTTAAAATATATTGTGGTATTTCCCTCTGTTACAGATACAGCTACCTCCTCCCTCCCCCTGTTGCAATGACAAGACCAAGCTAGATGACCTTCTGACCCAGTTCTTCATGCATCTGCTACAGAGTTCAAAATTAAAAATCCCCATTTATTCAACTAACTTTAAAGAGGACAGCAGCTTTTAGTGGCTACCTACAACAAAACGTAAAAAGACAAAAGCTGTGAAAAACAGACCCTCATGACATATGGGAAATACATTCAGTAATGCATCAGCAATGCCATTTAGTTGCAAACCAAATTAATGAAATGCGGAAGTAGATCTAGCACTACAGACTGAGAGCATGCCAGACAGTTTTGTACCTTAACTGCTTCCTCACTGCATAGACCTGCTGTATTCCCTGAGACACCAGCTCTCGGATCTTGTCTGCCACTTGAGGATGAAGTCGGGAAGGCAAAGTACAGTTCTCATCTCTAACAATTTCCTCCTCCTCCTCAGGAGAAGACACAGACAAGTGGGAGGGTGAAGAAGGGAGGCAGGATGTTTCCATCTCATGATACTGGTGGGCTTGCTGAGTGGGTAACTGTACATACCACCTAGCAAGAACGAAAGAGTTTCCACATACAATTCTCAAGCAAAGGCAAAAAAATGAGTCTCTTGGGGGATCAGTCTGACAATCATAAACAACCTAATTAGAGTGACTAAAGTTTTTATAGTGCCTGAGCTGGAAGATACTGCCTTTCAGAGTTCAGGGCCCTCTCACACCTTTCAATGCAAAATAAACCAGCTCAAATCCCCAATAATCCAACTATTTCTACATATTCCCTGCGTGAAAACATCTGCTGAAGTTCCACAGCTTGGTGCTTAACACATTTACCAAATTAATACTCTAGAGCCACAGAAGTATTACTGACATTGTGGGATTTTTTTCTACTGTTATTAAGCAAGAGCCCTAATGAAGTGACTAAGCAAAAAATACAGCAAACCAAGCAAATTATTGCTCTTTTTTAATTAATTTGTCAAAATAAAGAAAAAAAGTGTAAGTTTCACCTGAGGACGCCGCCAGCATCTATCAAGTTCTTCTTCAGCATGTTGAATGCTTTCTCCTGCTCCATTCTTATGATTTTCTTGTCAATTTTAGGGTCAGTAGGAACCCTGTATTCTGGAAACTTTTGAACCTTTTTAATATAGATTCTTCCAAGATGGCAGGGGGAAGGAGGGATAAAAAAAAAATAATTCTCCTTCAGTACATTTTGCCCTCGGGGATGGGGGAAGTCAAAACCCCCACCTACTTCATATCCGATATTAGTACAGAAAAAGTTCAAGCAGAGTACTGCAGAGGGTGAGCAGCCTCTAAGAGAACTGTAGAGTTGTTAAGGACACGTCAACAGAGACTGATGCAGACAGACACACTTCTGTTCCAGTCTGGAAGCCACTTAGCCATAGTGATTTTGCACTTCAGCCAAAACTCTCTGTCCCTCAGTGCAGTAAAAGCAAAATACCATTTCTGAACAGGCTGTAGTTCACCCAGCTTGAAGCCAGAATTGAGCGCACACATACCTAGCTGCAACTGTCCAGGTAAACACACTCTTAGCTCAATATAAACTAAACAAGCACCCAGCAGGATGCTCAAGGACAAGGAAAAAACCCATTAGTGCTGGAAAAGGAGAAAGTCCCCAGTGACCAGGAAGAACTGTAACTCCTTCAGCAACTAGGACATCTGCTAAATTAGGATGATTGACTGATATGAGTGCAATTAAAAGCCTGAAGGAAAAACAATAAATAAGAATACAAAGTTTCAGGACCAAAAATGGCCACTAAAGGACACTGCAATAACCAACTAATGCTCGGGTAGAGAATCATTCCCACTTGTATTTCACATCCTGATGTACTGCTATTTTGCATCCAGGCAACCTACCAAATCTCAGCCTTATTCAGTTTAACAGGACAGCATTTCCTTCTTCCCTCTTAGGAAGTATCAATCTCAAGTTACCAAGGAGACAAAGCTAAGGGCTACAGTCCATATCAGTTACCACCCCCAAACAGCGCTCGATCAATGATCATAGTAAGAATGCTTTCTTAGGATGCTGAGTAGTTCTTCCAGCTTTATAGACAATTCTTACCTTGCTGGACACGTGGCTTTGTACAGATGGCCAGAGGTGCTTTCTGACTCACCAGCTTTTTTGGGCTGGAACCCTTTCCTCCTTGGCCCATACTGGCACTCCATTACTATGGCTCTGCTTCCTGGGAACATAAAGTAATGCACTCTATTTATTCAAGCAACCACTGAAGTCATTACTAGTAAAACAGCAACTACAGAAAAGATGAGATTTCTGAAACAGTTATTTGTGTTTACTGTCAGACTCTTCAGAAGGCAGAACACTTAAGCGTAGCAAGCATTCAGATACAGTGAAAATGCTTCTCTCACAGCATGTATGGAACACAGAGCATTTTCAAAGCATTTCTCAAACTTACTACATTTCACAACACTCCTGCAACATATAGAAGGCAAAGTATTGGATTCTGTCCTGGTGAACACCAACACTTTATAAGATAAGCAGCCTTGCAAGTCACCAAAGGAGCACAATGCTGGTAATAAACGTAAGGGAAGCAGAATCCCCCAAATAACCAAGAAAATCCACAGCTGAACTCAAAGGTCAGCAGCTATTTCCAGCCTGCTGTCTTAAATCAATACTTCAGACCATGCTGTCCCATAATTCTGATTTGCAAGTCTGACATACCTTACCTGCTAAGTAACACTGTTTCAGTGTGACACAGCCATACAAAACCAGGCAGGCCTAAACAAATGTTGCTTAGCTCTAAACTTGAGTGAGTGGCTTCTTCCAGTCAGACCTCTAACAAAAGGGGTGACAGGCATGGCATTAAAGTGGTCAAGAAAGGAACTTCTTCCAAATTTCTTCCACATCATGTGTAGTTCTCTTTTATTTATAATTCATATACTCCAGTATGCAGGCAAAGAGCTGCCTATAGCACAAGTGATATAACCAAAACATTTCTAAGTATCACAACAGCAACATAATGTGTTTCCTTAAGATACCAAATGATTTATATAGTGTGACATTAAAAAATAAAAACAAAAATTAAAAAATAAATTAAAAAAATCAATGCAAATAAAGAAATAGGAAATTTCAAAGATAACGATATACAACAAACAGATGTCTTGTTTTTAAAAACAAACTTAAAATTGATTGGAAAGACTTCAACAGCTTTAAACTAGTCCTTGCTTATATGAACCTCAAAAGTAATTTGATGGGGTCCCTGTTTTACAAAAGCATCAACTACCCAAAATTCTTATTAAAAACAACAATCACAATCTCGACGTTTAGTGCACGTTTTACACTACAGGGAGCTACCCAGCTTCTCTATATTTCCCCAGCTGAAGCACAGCAGGGAAGGTACTACAGATTGGTTCCACTTATGTCGAAGGGATAAATTCCTTGAGAACAACATTTTTGTCCTGCACAGTTTAGAATTCATTTATCTGGATTTAAACTGCAGTTCAGTAAACCATATTTACAGCCTCTGCTCTACAGGTGTAAAGGATTTTAATGAATGCCTTTCACAGAGGAGTTACAAACTAAATCTAAGCATACCGTAAAGGCAACATGTTAGAAATACATAATGCCTATTTGGGGGTCTGAGCAAAGCAAAAAATATTACAATTTAATAATCTGAGTCTCTATTAGTCTACAACACCTTAAAGAAAAAAAAAAGTCTATGTTTGTTTCTGCTCTAAGTATTTTACTGTGGTGCAGTTCATTTATCAGGCAGATCTTCCTGGAAACTAAAGATGTTTCATATGCATTTTGTGAAAAAAAAAAAAATAAACATGTATGTTGTTTTGGCTTTATTCTTAGCTTTCTTATACCTCACAGTTAATGGCTGAAGCTTTAAAACTGGTGCTAACATTTCACCTCCTCCATTACTTTCAGAAAAAAAAACAACAAAAACCCCCACAAACCAAAAAACAAACCCCAAGCACATAACTTACATTCCAGTCATTCATGATCTCTGTGTAACAATTAAAACCTGTTCATTACATATCCAAATGAATTCTTAGTAATTTCACATATGCACTGCATGAGCTAAATATCTAATAAAAACCTGGGAAGTCTGTACATTCATTTTAAAAAACCAACAATCTGTCTGCTGAGGTATGTTTATGTTTATCTTGTTTTTAAAATTTATTTAGCTTTTTAAAAGAGTGCCATTTAAATAGTTTATTGGCTGCTATGGAACAAACTCTTCAAAGGATCTCCAAAGTAGGCATGAATACTCAAACAAGCTCTTACCCTTATAAGAACTTTCACATCCTGACAGAGCAGACAGGACCTCCACCTAAAGATCTCATCACAAGAACCCCCATCAAATGGTACTTAACTAATTCATTTCTAAATAACAAAAGGAAATAATCACAACAAAACATAAGCCTGTGTCTTCAGGGAAACAAGCTCCTTTAGACTTGTCATGGAGGTGGTGCCCAAGCGACTCTTTTTGTTTGTGCCTTGACTATCAACACTAAAGAACATCATAAAGATCCTTCTTTATGACCAGCTGGCAACTGATGTTGAAATTTTGAAAGCAGTTATTAAAAGAAAAGTGAGTTACCTGCATTGACAAAGGGGATCCCATCATATGGGACATACTGAGATTTCCACATCAACCGTGTGGCGGGTTTGGCTGGGCTTGGAGACTGGCGCGTCCCCCACACACTTTGTGTTTGCTGCTTGTGTAGCGTTAGAACGCTCTCTAATTCTGTCTCGCTCACACAATAGCCGCGGTACGAGTCCCCAATTTTCTGCATAGAAAGGAGGTGAAATAATAGGATTATTCACCCAGCTGACTGCTGAACATTACACAAGAAAACAAAAGCAGTCAGGGACTCTGGCAGGTGAGGACACAGGCCCAGATTTTTGGCGCATCTTTGCGTTTTTTCCCCACACTAGTATCCTCATAAAGAGATTTACCATAAGATCTAACACCGGAGCAGTGCCCGCTGAGGTCAGGAGTTCGTCAGCCCTCCAAGACCCTAAGTACACCAAGAACCCCTGAAAATATTACAGTTACTGCCAACTCTGATTTCCATAGGACAACTTCACTCCTGTTGTTTCCCCCAACACACACTTTAGTTGCAGTCACCTCCTAGACAAATATGTCCTAGGCGAACATTTTCATTTGACTCCCACAGAGAATCTCTGAAGCACTAAAAATTGCCTACGCATCTGCTTCAACACACACGTGCTGCACTGAGCTGGAGCAGAATACAACTGCTGATAGCACCAGTAACTGCCTCACCCACTTACTGCACTAACTGTGAATTGACTGTCTCACGTGATACTCCTCCCAATCTTCAAGGCACTTCCAATTCTCAGCATTACACAGAAATATAATACACTAGATTTGCCACGTGGAAACTGATGATGGTTTCAATCACCTCTGCTAAGCTCTGGGCAACTCCAGACAAACTGCATGTAACCTGACTCAAAGTAAAAAACAAAACAAAACAAAACAAAAAACCACCACCCACAAACAACTTGCTGACTTTGCAACATCCCGTGACAGCTGTTCAGCTACTCAGAGCCATCACAGCTGGTTCAGCGCTGGTCTACCAGGGCCAGCCAGCAAGCAGCGAAAGCACTGAGACAGAGGAGAGCTTTCCATCTGAATCTGAAACACCATGCTCGCTTCTGTTCATATGCAGCTGAGGATCAGGCTGACCAAGCAGCTGGAAGCAACACCCAGGGTAATCTGCCAGCTCAGTCTTACAGCGTATCTGTGGGGCAAATGCATGGTGAATGAGTACTAAAGTCTGATGGATCGATTTTTCCACCTTCAATGACAAAGCAGACATGTTTAAATAATGCTTTCAACAAAAGCAGCAACAGCATCTTTCCAAGATTATTATTGCACAAATACTTCAGTGACAACTGCAGAAAACCTGCCTCATAGTCACCTAAGAAAAACAACGTGTCTGTGGTTACCAAACCCAAAGTCAACAAAGAACAAATGAACACCTTGTGAATGAACTGGGCCAGCACAGTGCTGCTGCTAGCACAAGCCGAAAAGCAGAGGGCTAGGCGTGCACTGGCTGCATGAGTCATTCTGAGATACCAGTTGCTTACACTTCAGCAGCTCACTGCACTGCAAGCACACTGCTCCAGCAACTCAGAAAGTCTACACAGGCTGCACTCACACAGCTGTGGCAAGGAAGAGAAGAGGGCAGTTGTTTAGCCAGAAATTATAAATAACATTTCTGTCCAAAATTCAATCTGAAAAACCCAGGAGAAGCAAAGCAGCCTGAGAAGTACCAGAAGTACCTTCTTTACAGAAACCTGGGATGCCTCCTTTTGCAAGAGGGATTACAGTACCACTCCACACAGTGAATACTGCCTGACCAGGATTTTTCTTTCCATATCTTATACTTGTCACTATAAATAGGTCATTGATCTTATTCTAGGGAGATGAGAAGATTGATAAAACCATTGTTCCAGAACAGTTACGGTAACAGTTAAGGCACTGCCTCCTATTCTGGCTTTACTGCTGCACAAGATAGATCACTTTTCCAAAACTGGTGGGAGGGGAGCAGGAGAAGAAACTCATACAGTACATAGGATCCCTGCTCTCTAGGAGCTTCCCAAGTAGGAACAAATGGACAAAAGAGATCTTCTGCTTCACACAAATACATGAACTTAGGTTTGTACAGCTTATTAACTAATGCAGTTTTTAATTACACTCTATTTCAGTATGCTGATACATGCTGGAAATGTATTCTGATCAGACCACTGAAAACTAAGTAGGTTATAGAAAATAACCATTTTTTTAAAAATCCATTTTTTATTAACAGTGCAATTATCTTGAAATAATCAGATACTTTCCAACCCTTTAACTCCAGCCAAGCTTCAAGCCAAAAAAAGGAGCAATTCCTTTTCTCCCCCTCTGGCCTCATCTCAGCAAGAGTACATAAAAGCTTACACTAAAGTACACACATGAAGACTGCAGTTTTTCTTGAGTAAACTAACAGCAGCAGGATACCAAAGACATTGTACCATCTAGGCCCAGCAAGCATAAGCTGAACATTTCAAGGCAGTCAGGGAATCAACACCAAACACACAGCTTCGTGCTAATTTTGGCCAGCTGCAGCTTTTACTGCTCTGCGTTCGCCTGCAGTACTAACTCCCAAAGGAGTCACTGCCCTTCAGAGTTCAGTCCTGGCCAGCTCCCCGGGATATACTTGGCAGCATGTACCCAAGCTATGCCATGGCTTCACCTGCTGTCATCTTCTGTGAAATTCACACAGGCCTCAGTACTGTTTAAGTTAGTTTCCATTCTGGCAAGTGACTGAAAGAGTGAAATAGTGAGTTGCTATATTTATCTGCACCTCTACTAGATCTCCAAATTCCAGTTGGACCCTTCAATCCTGTTACTAGTAACAAAAAATTTTGCAATACACTCACACCTGAAAGACAAATGACACACTCAAAATCCCACTGTCTCTAGTCTGTACCCATAAAAAGGCAAACACATCCTAGCAGTCTCCAGTGGATCTACACTGTGTAGCTGACAAACTCAGCAAAGTAACTCTGCTGATAACATGCAAGGAGGAAGAGAATTTGGGGTATTCCTCCTTGGATGGGCTGACTCTGCAGGGAAAACAGCAACAAAATTTTTTTTTTAAAGGAACAAGGAGAATTAATGCACACAGTCAATAGTTTGGCTGAACAGCAGAGGCAAATGTCTCCATCCTCAGAACACATTTAACCAGACAGTATTTTGATTTCCTTTTCTTTAAAAATAAGAACTCTTCTATATATGCTGCTACCGTGAATTTTAAACACAGCAGGTGAAACATCTTGTGATGGCCTCGGATAGACCAAGTATACCATAATACAAGTCCTCCTATAAAATGAAACCTGTAACAAATGGTTCAGATAAGCTACATCGATATTAAGACAGGAAAGTACGTGCCACATAGTGCTAAAAACACAGTAATAGGGGTTATAGGTCTTAATTTAAATGGTCCATTAGTCCAGTAAGTGACTCATTCAGTGAAAACAGTGCTCCACCATGGAAGAATTCATGTTATTGATTTTCTGCCCTCTTAATGTTTAAGTGGCTATAATAGTGGAGAGTACCATTTGTGTGAAATAAAAGGCATATAACAAAGAGGAATAGATTAATATATTTAGTTAATTTAAAAATTATTTCTAAGTGAATACAGAAAGACATTCAATTTCTAAGTCCCTGCAGCTGCAACTTCTGGTTATTGGTGGCCAAGCTAATAGGAAAAACCTCAAACAGTATCAATATCTAAAAGAGGTGAACCAGCTAGAAAGTGTATGAGCTTTCCTTTAAAAAAGTATTAGAAGAACACAAAATAAACATCTGGTAGGAAGAGTCTGGTAGCAGGAGGAAGGGGTAGGTGATCTCTCAAGAATCTTCCCATCTCCCCTCCCTTCCTTTTAAGTGATTTATGATGCATTCTAGCTGTTGATACCATCCCAGTTATCAGGACAGTTCTGCATACATCTAACAATATGCAAATAGAGTTCTATTTACATCAAAAGCCATTACAGGGCATAAAGACAGAGCACTTTTTAAGAAAACAGAAAAAAAAAACAAGCACAGGTAACCATGCTGATACAAAAAAAACCAAAACCAACCCTGTGAGAATATCTAAAATAGAAATCCCTAGTGAAGCACTGACATTAAGGTGCTCTGCTAAGTCCCAGACTTGACCCTGGCAAGTCACCTGTATTTTGATTTCTAACTGACAACACAAACCAATACAAACAGTTGCAGACTTAGGCCATACAAAAGCAATTTTATTCTTTAATTGATGGATCACCAAGGGCAACAAAAACCAGTTTGCTCAGCAGAAGACAGCAGAGTTTGCACTGTAGTTCAAAAATGACTTCTAACACAGCACACAATGGCTTTTCCTAGTGCTGTACGGCATCGAGATTTCGGGAGCACATTGTTTGCTTCAGGAGCTGCTGATGGTCAGTTATTCTAGCATCCCCCAAAAAAGGAAGAGATGCCATAGCATTTTATGTGTTTAAACATGCTAGTAGTACCAGCACTATTTCATAATACCACGAAGCTTGAACACAACTTCTACAAGTGTGAACATTATTCCTTTTATGGAATAGGACCAATTTCTCAGCTCTAGATGACAAAACATCAAGTCAGAATTCTTTGCAGCCCACCTCACAGTTCCTGAGACAGCGTGCCCATGCAGGCATATTTGGTGGCAATGGCTGGAGAGGGATGGGAAAGTGATCTTCCACCACACTGAAAAATAAAACAATAAAGTAAAAGTCTATACAGACATCCAGGAAAAAACCAATTTAGTCTAAACTACAGGTAACATATCAAATGAGAGCATTATGTATAACCCTACAGCATATGATCAAACTATAGATATTGTATAAACTTGCCTTAAAAACCTGGGGTTCATCTTCCCCATATTCTATTTCATTGTTAAAATAATCCACAGTAAATATAAGTATTTTAAAAATGCACTGTTTTCTACATTCAAGAAGACCTCTGAACATTCCAAGTATTCTCAGTATTGTTGCTTGACAACAATAGACAAAACATGGTGAAACAGACCAGTTGATTGTCTCAATAATTTTCTTATGCAAACTGATGGTAGAATGCTAAAGATTAAAAGCAGTAGCAAATACTTGTTAAATGCTGCACATTTCAGTATATATTAAATTACTGAAAACATGCTCCAATAACTATTTTAAGTAAGTATCTATTTAATCCATGCCCTAAATCCTGGGGCGGAAACAATGCTTACTTGATGTTTATTATTCCAAGACTGAAGCGCATCACTTCCTGTCCATACAAATATGTCTCCTTTCCAGGATTATTTTTCTAACATATACAGACTGCATTCACAAACTGTTGCTCTTCATTTTAAATGTTTCTTGAATATGTACACTTTGTGCCATAGTGAGACTATTCTAACTTCTACCATGTCTCGATTTTCGAAGAGCACGAACCAATGCAAAGCCAGTCTGCAGTCCACAGAACAAACATCGTCTTTGGTGCAGGTTTTTTTGGTTGTTTTGTTGTTGTTGTTCTGTTGGTTTGGTTTGAGTTTGGTTTTGGGTTTTTTTAAGCAAAAAAAAGAATCACAGAGTATTCGGGAATTAAAATAGTAGGCATCATTTCACGTGGGGACAGAATCAGGTGGATATCAAGAGAAGAAAAATGTAACAACTATTTTAACTTTAGAAACTTTGCTAACCAATCTGCCTGTCTACGTGTTCCACCAAAACACACCATTAGCAGCTGCTTTCTCATATTTTAGCAGAGGAAGCTGAAGAAGTTATCCAGAGAACAAAGATTAGGCTTTCTCTGTTAATGCCGACTATTGAAATCTCTATCTAAAAAAATTAATCTCTACAATCAACCCTTCTTGTGGGAGGATGGTTTATACAGGCTTTACTACTCTTACACAAGAAACTCTTGTTCCCTCAAACTTCAGCTTTCCCTGCAATTCCTTTACTGGATCACTTTCAACTCTTGGCTGGCAGTATCAGTGTCTACTTGGAGTAATTTCAGTAATTTGCACTCTCCTGCTTTAAATGCTCACCCATTGCTCTGGTCAGAATATAACCAACTACCTCTGGAACAGAAGTACTTTAATTGCTTTTTCAACTGCTCTGGCACATAAAAAAGCTGCCTGCAAACACGGCTACAAATCATTCACTAATACTAAGGGTTCATAACCTCCATTCTAGAGTAACTTTGTGATAACAATTGCAAAAACAAACTGCAAGAAAAAAAGGCAGTATTAACAGTGGATCAAAGTGATTGTTCAGCCTTTTAACTTCTGACCTACCTGGCGTCTGTTTTTTTTGATATGGTGAGAGATGCCTGTGGATGGAGAATGTAACTGCTTCCACTGTCTGCTATAGCAGCCACCGCCACAGTCTGCAAGTTCCCATCACCACACTTCTCTTCCGAAACACCTTTGCAAAAATAAAACAACCTCCTGGTTAATAACTGAACTAGGAATCGGGAAATTACAAGCTATGATTAAACTTTCTGCATGGGAAAAGCAAGCATTTTGATATCTGAAATAAGATTTCTACATGATAAAGTAGTGTAATAGTTGTGAATCAATACTCGAACTCCAGACACACATATGAAGATACACTTAATAAGGTTGTATTCATGGACTTTGATAACCATGCTACTGCTAATGAATCCTTCCACAACAAAGCAAATAATCAGATTTGTCAATGACTCTGCTTTACATTTCCACAAATCCATACAAGATTGCACAGCTATTTTGTTCAGCTGCAAATCACACACTGCTTTTAAAAATAAGAAAAAAAAGAGATTACGTTACTGCTTTGTACTTACGAAAGAACACCTAAACAAGAAAATAACAGCTCTTGTAATTGAATCCGACATTCTGCTAGCACAAATGTTTTAGCCTTTCTTGATAACAGGGAGCAATCCATAAACCAAAAAATACTGTTGGATTGAAGCCTATGTGTATAGTTAAACAAAACCATGGAAAACTGTGAAAGCAGACATTTGATACTTTGGTCTCAACATAAAGAAAAGGGAGCTCTCTTTAGATGTGGGATTTTTGCCCTTCAATTACAAAAGTTTCTCTTGTCCATCCCAAGAGTGAGAAGCTATTGACTCAGTACAGAAACCACTCCACTTTAAAGCTTGTGCCAAAAGACTTATAAGTGTGTACCTCAGAGCAACACCACTCTGGCTCAAAGCTCAGAGCACCAGTTCCTTCTACATAGACATGCCCTTAAGACACTACAGTCTACTCTGAAGCCTCTGCCATTTCATGCATTACCACCACCTGCAGCCAAGTGAAACTCAAGGGCTGAAAGTCCTTCCCCTTGAATCCCAACAGTAAACCACTGACAAGTTTTCCTAATTGTCTTTTAAACATCAAATAACTACGAAGTCTTTTACATAGTCAGTCTCTAGGAGAAAAACCAACAGACCAAAACAAACCCAAAAACCCCACACAACAAAACCCCACAAAAAAACCTGTAGCGCTGTCGCAGGACATACATTCAAATACTGTGAAACGGAGCTATTTGCAAACCAGGAGCCCCATGTAGGATGAAAAATGGGAATACAAAACCACTGTTCAGCATTGCAACTTATTATCTACAAAAAGTAGCAGCAATTATTTAGTAACTGAAGGCTCACAGTCAGCTTAATGTCATGTAAGACTAGACTGTAACCAAACAGTGATCTTACCCCTGCAAAAACAGGTGGAGAGGGAGAGAAGGATGAGCATTAGGGTAGGAGCAAGCCTTTTAATCAAGGTTATGAAACTATATTCCGACTGTAAATGAAAAGGGCTGGATCACGACTTGAGTACCAACTCTTTTTTCCATCCATCCAACATCAGGACTCTAGTCTTACCTTTGAGCTCTCATTCCACAGGAGCACTTAACTAGCACTCAGATTTTGAGTATTTTATACAGAAAATGCAAAAACAGTTTAAAAAACCTTGGAGAGTTTTAACAAAACGCAAGAACCTAGTTCTCAGTCTTATTCTGTGTATGCAAACTAGTACGCAGCATTTTGCTACCCAGCAAGGCTTGCAGATAACTAATGAATGCTTTCAGATTTAGGTATGTCCCTTTTCTAGAGAAAAGCTTAAAAATCACACTTTTAGTTGTGCATCTCGCCACATACTTAAAACGTGACAGTTAACACATCAAGGGAAAAAAATTAGCAATGAAGTGAAAGTTGCATCTCATTTTCTTCATTGGGAACTGAATTTCTACCTAGATACTTCATTCCTGGCTTCACAAATGATGCATCACCACCAGTGATATCTGGAACAGACCAGAATAATGTGAATTCTTCTATCTGTATTACATGAATTAACTACTTCACTCAAAATGAGGTCAACAGACAGTGAAAACTTGAAGCTGATACTACAGCTGTCTGACTTGGCACAAACATCCTTATTAATGGTAAATAAGGCAAGAAACAGCTTTGTGCTTGATATCTCAATTTATCTATCACATATCCAAAGTAAGCATAACAGCTTTCCTTTCATAAGGCTTTTGTCCAACAGAAAACGTGGTGGGCGGGGTGCCAGATTCACAATCAGAAAGCAGATTCAGTAAGTATGTTATTTTTGTCTTACAACAGGAAAGGAAACGCATATAAACAAGCTTCTTAAAAAGAGATCATGTAGGATATGCTTCGTCACAGGAACACACACTCTCAAGTCTCACAGGTTAAACTCACCCTGCGTGCTGGTCACATCCAGAAGCTGACCTTGAGGAATAATCACTTGGGCCATTCCTGGCTGGGCAGAAGGAAAAACATGCAGCACCTGTCCATTTTCTGACTGGCTGGCAACAATCATCTGTAAGGCAATCACAGAAAAGCATGAATGGCACAAGATTGTTTGGTGATCATCATGCAGCACAACTGGGTTTGCTTATTACTAGAACAGAAAATACTTTGCTTGGAATTATGGCCTGTAAATTAACTTAATTTCACATAATAAGAAAACTGTCTATTTACTGTCAATTTCTTAAAACTACTTTCCCCCTTTTAAAATAGCCCTTTAATTAAGTAGAGGAGAGAAAAAAAACCCTTATTGGAATCTACAATGAATTACTCATTTATCTGAAACTTACAACACTATTATTAACGCTATCAAAAACTTGAAATCCATTCATAGTTGGATTCACTGTAACCCCCGTCATGGACTAGCAGAATTAATCACAACATATAAAAATTTTGACCTTTACTCCTAAGAAACTGACCTCTATGGGCAGTATTTTATGCAAAAGCAGATAAAAGGAAAGCTCCAAGACTGCAAAAAAAAACCCCACCTAAATGTCCTAGAATTATGGAAAACTTAAGCAACTCCTTATGGTAAATTTTCCCATAATTACCAAGGACTTTGTTCACAACAATGTTATAAAACCTAGAATAAGGTAAAATATCATCTTGTTTCTGATTTATTACACTTTAAATGGGTGAACTGACTTTAGCGCCAGTACAACACACCCCAACCAAACTCTCTGGGTGAGAGAGTTACCTTTTTTCAAAATAAGTCCTAAGAATTACAAAGTGATGTTTTAAGCAAATTAATTGGGGGGGTGAGGAGAGACATAATGGGTTAGCTTATTGCTAATGTTCCAATGCCCCCCAAAAAACACAGTGACTCATCCAGGGAATATAGGGAAAGCAGCAGTATTAGAAGTATGAGATCTCATCACACACTAACATCCAGGCTTGATAACAACAAAAGGCATAAGTTGTTGTTTGATAAAATTAGTAATGGCTGGAGACAGGACTTGCCCAAGGGCAACTGGAGCATGAACCGAACAAATGAAAAGTTTCACCTTGTTGCTGAAGTCTGAATCAGCTGTTTTTACAACAAACAAGCACCGTGTAAAAAGAGTTCTTTGAAGAGCTCCCTCCTTTGTGAAGGCACCACCTGCCCTGTTTCAGACACACTCACCATCGGCGCACTGGGCCCTCCAAGGGGCTGCAGCTCATAGAGAGTCTGTCCAGTTTGGTCTACCAGGCGGAACTCCTCTGCAGAGTGAGGCTGGGGCTGGGGTGGCCGCGCAGGCGCAGCCGAGGATGAACTGCCCGAGAGGCGTACTGTGATGGGCAAGGCTGCAGGAGAGTCACTCTGTCCAAACAACGGATCCCTGGAATCCATGCAGGTTAGATGCTTTCACAGAGGAAAAACAGTGAAATGTACTTTAATCTTGAGTAGCAATTTCTATTTAAAGAAAAAAAAAGAAGAAAGAAAGAAAAGAAATTTAAAACCAGTGTGCTTATCGTATACTCAGAGGGAGCTCTTGTCCTTCTGATCAAGAGGCTACTAGCTAACACTACCAGTTCTATTTCTGTTTTCCATTTCCATGCTGCAAATGTATTCATATGTCTGCTTCCTAGAACAAACTCTTTCTAGTAAAGGGGAAGGAAATCCCTTGGGCCCAAAATCTGTCCCCCAAAACCACTCATCACTTTAAAACATCTCAAGTCTACACAGAAACTGAGAGAACTTATACCAAAAAAAACCCAACCTGTAAAACACCCACCAACTTGATTTGACTTCATAAGAAATCCTAGATACAATTCTACTCAGCCTTTAAATACGTGCATTTAGCTATGAAGACAACAATCTCTCTATGCTTTCTTAATTCTTTACCACAGAAGAAACACAAGCAACACCCACCAATTCAAGTCGAAGAATTATACAGTGCAAGACCACGAAACAGATTTTGCAAGTCTCAAAAAATAGGTACTCAGAGCTTATTTTCATCAAGCTCGCAGAATCAAATTCTCACAGCACATGCCATTTTCATTAAATTTAAATGTTTAAGCACAAATATCTTTTTTCTTGAAACTCTGACAACACAAATATTAAACATATAAAAATAATGGAAAATAGGCAGCCCTTGTGTAAAATATCATGTCAGGCTGTCATTTGGCCAATGCAAGGAGTGCAACTTGTTGTATCTCTTGCAGCAGTCACACAAACAACTCTGACATTTCTGTTACAAACATTTGTAAACTACACATCTAAGGAGTGGGGAAAAATGTTTATAAATTTTATATAAAGTCAGACTTGGGTGAAATAACCTTCTCAAAAATTCTGCAGTTATAAATCTTCTGTGCTGAAACTGCCTACTGTAAACTGCACCAGAAAAGCAGCAGCAAATAAATGGCGCTACTTGTGGTAAAGACATTATGTAGAGACCATAAGCACACTACTAAATCACTGAATGATATTTTATGTTAGCTGAAGTAATCTGTAGAAGAACATTTACGCACAGAAATCTCTCAGACTAGGAATATCTGGAAATATTTTGTAACACATACATTAAAGACTCCCTTTCTCCAATACCTACACAAGATGTCCTGTGTCCCTGGACTCTTATTTGACACATTTGGTCACTGAGCAATCTGATCTGATTTTCAAGTGTTCCGAACCCCTCCGACTCCAAGGCATGTCACCAAGTATTCTTTTATTAAAGGATTTCGTTAACACAATAAAACATATATTTCTTCTGCACTATAACAGGGTCTATTAATACAATTACTAAAAGTTGTCGTTACATGTAATAGCTGGATATTCATCAGTTTCAAACTGAATGGCACATGAATCCAAGGGAAGGAACATTTGTGCTTTTTTGAAAGACAATGTATTACTATAAAGGCAAGAAAAAACATATCGATGAAATATCATACTGTAAATTCATCAGAGAGGATGTAAAGAACCATCTACAAAGACAAGACATTTATACCTCACCTGAAAAACCCGATCATTTGTCTCTGACTCTCCTGTACTACTATTACAGTTGCCTATGAACAAACCATTAGATTCTTCCGTAGTGATGTCATGGTCAGCTCCATTTTTTTCCATTACACGATGACCTGAAAAAGTTACAAAAGATTATTTCAGCTTTCTTTAGTTTAGCCTCAACCAAGACACTGCTGCACTTTTTTTTTTTCAGTCTTACAAGTTTAGTCTTACAAGTTCTAATGCTAACTGCAAAGCCCTGGAGAAATCCTTGCCTCCTTATCACCTCGTCACTCACTGCAGAAAAATTTCAGTGTGTTGCTCCAGGAGTACAGTTTAGCCTTTTGTGTAAGACAATTTCTTGACTTGTCACTGCACACACAGATACAAAACACTCGCATGATTTTCATCTAAATATGTCCACAAGCACTCAGCTAACAACCATACACATCTAGAGAACATTTGATATTTAAAGATATGCCCATACTGCTTTACAAAAATATGAGTCATCTATTTCCACAATCAACAGGCAGAATTTGTGTTATCCAACTCTGTCATGTAGCCATCTTGAAGTAAATTACAATTGTTTTTAAGTGTTATAAAACAACATATAAATGAAATAAATTTACTATTGTTAGTCCTCAGGAGTACACTTTGGGCAGCAAAAATGCCAGATATCTGAAACAAAATTTGGCATGAATCATGTGATGGAAGACAGAAAGACAGAGCTCCTGGCACTTCAGAGATTTACTTCCTATGCCAAAGAAAAGTAATTCACAGAGCTCAGCTGCCCTCTATAAACCTTCAAGCAAACAGATAATATTGGACAGTGAATTGCCACATCCACAGGATAAGGTGTTCACCCAGACAGTACGCCCTTTAAAGTAGTGACCAATCCCAAATATTCATAAGCAATGAGACAAAATGACAAATTAACTTGGCCCATATGTTACTGGAGTACGTGCATACTAGACTACCCACGTAATATGCCAAAATGAATACAAGAAAACGTAATTCCTGCAGTTTGGGGTGAGAAAGGGGGAAAGGCGTCCAGGGTTTTTCCTCTCAGTATTTATTTTAGAGCCAGGCAGCGTTATATTAGCACAGGACTCCTACCAGCTTTATCTTCTGCACCATACCACATAGTAAATTCCTCAAGATGGACCTTCTTGGCTGTGGTATTTCAACCTTTTACAGCTTTAGTAAGGAGAATGTAAAAGGCTAGAGAGTCACTTGAAAAGAACTGTACAACCCTGGAAGCACAAATTTATTTTGGTTTGCAAAGATATAAAGGACCACAGGCAAAGTAAATCCACATCTCCTTGGCTTTTGAAGCTGAATAAAGCATCCTGCTGATACAAACAACATTGTGAAGTTAAGCTGCTCATATGCTCAATATACTAAATACTTTAATCTAAAGCAGATTTATTTTTCCATTCAATTTTCAAGTGATGACACTCTGAACCAAGTTCCAAATTAAGTTATCTCATGTTTAACTGAATATTTTGTAGCTTTGGATCTGAGAACAATTATGAGATGCTTCAGATAAAATGTCTGAAGCATGTTAGCAGCAAATGAAAAAAAGACAGAAAACTAGATTTCATCATCACTCAACCATTTCCCCTCAGTTAAATGATGTAAAGAAGGTATGTCAGTTTTACCAAAGCAGCACATTTAATTCTTTGAGATAAACTGAAGAAGTTTTTTCCAGGGATATCGATGGCACGTATCCATCCAGTGTGCTGGAACTCAGCTACAGAACACAAGGACAGCTGTATCGGGACGGACCAATGGCCCAAGGAGCCCAATGCCCTGTATCCAACGCTGGTTAATAATAAAGCTCAGGGGAAAAAAATACAGCAGTAGAGTACACATACAGTGATATTTAACCAGCTTTCTCTTATAAGCAGCCCAGAAATATCTGAAGTTTTATCTTTTGTTTAAAAAATGCCCTTGGTACGTTTTTGCCCTGTGACTTTGTCTAATCACTGTTCTAACCCAGGCAAACCATTGGCACAAACATCACCTCGGACAACAAACTCCATGGTTTAATCATCCAGGTTTCACTAACCTAAGTGCTGTGTAACCCCAAACAAAAAATAATATTTTTTGTCTTAAAGAAATATACTTTTACAGATACTTACAAGTACATAGATTGTTAATAAATTTATAGTTGTAGAAATGTTGCTAATAAATTCCCTCCAAAAGTCAGTTAAATCCTGTATACATATATATACGTATGGATATTTTGTAATGAATGAGTAAATAACATACAAGTATTTCTTCTTTTCATAAAGACTTTACAGAAGTGCCACAAAAATTTCCAATGTAACACCATTGTATTCCACACTTAACAATGAGTTGAAGGAGAAATGCAGTTTAATGTTAGTGTAAACTGGGATCAGCAGCTGGATCCTCAGTGCATATATCAACCAGGCAGCTCTCCATGCCCCAGCTTCAGCCTTAATGCAGCTCCAGACAAATGAGTCTACAGGCTGCTCTCCATGAAGTCCACCACTCCAATGCCATTTCCAACTCAAGGGTTAGCGCATTTGAACACCATAGGACTGCTTCCTTTGCCCTGCCTCCATTTGGGAAGCACATTGCTCAAAATAAGGGAAATCTATGGTCATTGCTATCCTTGGTTCAACTCTACAAACACAGCAAGCAGCCACAGAAACTGCTAGCAGAGGCACACATAATAACCATCATGAGCATTTTATGCAGGGTCTTACAGACAGCATCTTCAAGCGAGTACACACTATGCACGGCAATCTAGCCCACACGTTACCGTCAGTGGTTCAATTCCAAAGACAAACGCACTGATAGTTCAAGATCATTTAGCAAAACACAAAAGGCAATCAGATCTCCATTTATTTAGCCACCAAGAACTCCCATACCACAGCTGTCAAAGCCAGGGGCACCTCTTGCACACCCTAGGTTCTCACTGACCAACATTCACGGATACAACTCGTATAGCAACAGGTACTCTCAACAGGAACAAATTTCAATGCCTGCTCTGAGGTGAACCTTTCTCATAACAGTCGTAATCTCCTCTCTAATCCAAAAGCCCACATACTGTTTCTTACATAAACTTTTAAAGACGCTAAGAGAAAAGTCAAACTAGCATTACTTTAAAATCCTATTATTGACCAGTCACACCTCCCCCCTGCCTTAAGGCAGGATATTAGATTTCCGTATTTTCTTGCCTCCGATTTTTTATGCTATGGTAATACCTACACCTATCAACTACAAGCAGTCGTCCCTAAGAATACACCAGCTCTAGATTGACATAATTTTAAGGCTTTGTATGAATGCTTGCTTCTGCCTTCCTGCAGTTACGGGGCCTCCTTGTGAAGGCAACATGCAACCAGATTCCAAAAGGAAACACTGCCTTTCAAAATCCTAGAGCTAGTTATTTTAACACTGAGTCAATGGTGCAAGAAGAAACCTAAACTGTAAAAAACAGAGAAGTCCATTGTGATAACAAGCACATTCTACCTAGGAGTACCCTGTTGGGGCAAGAGGGAAGGGATTCTCTTACATTTTTGAAGCTTCAAGTTTTCAATGCATAACCATTAAAAAAAAGGGGGGGGGGGATCAAAGCTCAACCGTGCAAGTTTACGTTTTTAGCATTTCTGACAGCAATATTCCCCATTCTGGGTTTAATTTATACTTCATGACAGGAAATACATACAGTTGAATGCCTCAGCAATAACCTTTTTTGGGTTTTCCATGAAATTTCATAAAAAGATTTAAGATAATTGCACAGCTTACAACAATTAAACACTCTCCCTGAAAAAGCTACCTCTGATGATATTTCTTTACCACCCTTACAAAGGGCAGAAATTACAGTAAAGCATAACAAGAAGGAAATTAGGGCATAGTGATACCCTCAAGTAAATGAGTTACAATTAGCTTTATATTAACTTGTTCCAGGTTTGAGATTCATCTTATCTCTGTCATGGAAGAGCAGGCAGATACCGTTAAGAATGCACAGATCTGGGGACTTTACTACTTAAAAAGTTTCTCAAGTAAGTCACTTTTGTGTAGCTAGCACAAGTATCTGGAAAATGCACCTGTTTCAATTACGTTGACAAACAATGTTAGATCTTTTAAGTACACTTAAGAAGTAGATGAGACTTCAGTCTCATAAAACATCAAGCCTCAACACCTGCTGGCTCGAACAAGTTGCCCCAACCCAAGTCACCACACAGGGAAAGCTCAGCTGTTCCCGGAGAGGCCACAAGTAACTGTCAAAAAGGCAGGAAAAAATAACACATAAACCAAGCACACAGCAGGTACTCACAAGCAGCCTTCTCCCAAAAAAGGAAATTTATTGCAGCTTCTTTTAGAGTCCACTGCATGTTGGGTTTATTACTTTTAGTAGGAAGTTTATTGTTGGTGTGCCACTTTACATGCAAAGGAACAACCCGAGTTACCCCAAGACAACACCATCAGCAGCGAACAAGTCCCGCTCGCCGGCTCCAGCAACGCCGCAGCCCCGCACAGGGAACTA